CTAAAAGTTTGAACAAAAAATTGCTTTTAGCAAAAGACTGTTCGTAAAAATTCATCGCGTTTAAAATAAAAGTGTCTGGCCTTAAGTTCTTTTAAAATTTGCACGCGCACGCACAGAAAGAAACACTTTGTGATGTTATTACGTTATTACGGAACACGTTCTGTTCTTTGCGACACAGCGAAAGAGAGCGTTCGCAGATAAGACTCCATCACGTGCACTTCAAATAGTAAATGCATGTACGGTTGGCGAAGCGGTGGGGTCGGTTTGTGTAATGTCAGCAACGATTATTGCTTTATCGGGAAAAATGGAAGCGAAATCGCGACGGTTATCCACGTCGTTGACTGCTCTTTCAGTGTCCGATAGATAATACGAACTAATTCTCTCTTGACACAGAATTTCCTTGAAGCAAATAACGATCTCTCCTGCGTCTTGTTTGTACGTGTCACGTCGTATAACCTATGGGACTGGGTGACACGCCGTTCTTCAACTATGAATTTCCGCTTATATCGCTGTTAAAGATCAAAAATAACGATGCTCCTGCTTCTTATTATTTAACTGTAAGATGATCGTGTTTATTATTCCTAATTCGAAAGTTAAATATTTAGAACGTTAAATAGTGAAGGATAACAAGTGATTGAGCAAAATAAACATTAAACAGTTTGGAATTTAGTCACGATTAACAAAGCGGAGATTGAAGTTTCGACTATACAATTCCAGATTACGAGATTTTAAAGTATGAAATAATATTTATATGTTCTGAAAAGAGTGAAGCAACGTAGACAGATATTTGACATTTCTACAATATTTTCCAAAACATTTTCATATTAATATTTTGAATCACGGGTTGATTTCATTGACACAATTCTATTAAACTATAATTATTATTTTAATTATCAAGTAGTAAATTATTATATGAAATTACATTATTATTGATATTAATACTAAAATTCCTTCTTTCATTTTAAAAATGTTAACTCGTAAAGAAGAATATTTTTAAAATTTCGTTACCTACGTTCCAAACAACAGTGTGACTCAAATTTGTATTGTAAGATTGTATCTAACGAATCATTCCTTAGAAATGAAAACTTTCTGAAAGTTCGGTAACAAGTAGGACGAATATTCTTGCAGGCCATAAATGGGTTGCTATTTCAATGTCATTCGTCTACTCCACGAACGTTAACCCATAAAGGTACTGACCCGAGTATTCCAGGCAAAGCCGCATAAACATTAACGCGATTGATTCTTGGTAACTCGGCCGGCCTATATCAGACGATACTGTTCACCCTTTTGAGCCTCATCTTGACCGTTACTAGCAATCCGTTGGTCGCGTACCCTCTCACGGATGAGTTGGCCACGAGTTCCAGGGAACTTCTAAATTTATAAACGTATTTTGAAGTACGAGTCTTCACCGTACTGACGCTAATAATCGAATGTTGAAGACACAGAAGAATTTCAACGTACTTGCAATTTAATTAACTTCAATTCGATAAATTAAACGTTAAAATGAATATAATATTTTAATGTCGCGTGTTAATTGGAGTGTTTGAAAAATTTGAGCGAAACGTTAGACAAACATCAAAGGAGATAAAAAAAAAAAAAGAAATGAATTTTTGTTACGTTTACTCTCTATGCGTTCTTTCGTTTATTCGTTGCACACGTTGCATTCCAGAATGCGATGCATTTTTAGATGGTTTAAAAGTTGAAGTTGATCCAAACATAAAGCAATAATGAGTAAAAAAATGTAGCAGATAAATTTAAAAGTTTGTCTAATATTAACGTGTAACTACTAATATTAACTTTAAAAACTGTTCATATTTGAAAACCATATTAATCGACTCGAATCCGTCACAACTTCTGAACTATTTATCAGACGTCCTGTGCGTGGAAAGTTCGTCGAAATATTGGTAAAAAATATTCCGCTATTATACGTTAACCACGATAAAATCCTCCATCCATGGGGGATGCGAACTACCTCCATCATTGTAAATTACTTTGAATTTAAGATTGTCATTCTTTTCAAAATCTTCATCGATTTAAATCGCCCTTAAATAGCTGATTTTCCGTTTCAAATTTGCCAAGATTTGCTCGATTCGAAAGGTAGATCTCGAAATGCTTGGCCAAGATTTGCTCGATTCGAAAGGTAGATCTCGAAATGCTTGGCGATTCTGAGGCAAGCAGCGTCACCCTGAGGACGAACCGGCGAACTAACCCCATTGATTTTTCGCGCGAACGTGCCGCCGCCACTGTCGTTTACCAAATAAGGAGAGGACTCGAACCGCGCCACTACACAACGCAACCCCTTACGAACAGCAACATGGCCGTCCGTTGAATGACAGTTGTTGCACTCGGTACGCGTACTTGTTGACCATCCCCGGCTTTCGACGTGTACCTGTCAGCGCCATGCATTCGCGTTCACGAGGGCGATCACGCCGACTCTCCTTCACGGTGAGTTCCTAAGGGAAACTCTTTTCACGTATCAACGAAATCATCTTTCGTGTCATTAAATCGTGTGTTATCATCCTCTCTTCGACTTTCAACGAGGGGAGAAAATCTGCCGATTTTTCCCATTGTCTTCTGATTCTTCTTCTTTTTTTTCTTCTTCTTCTATTCGTTCGTTCGATCGAGGGTGAATTCTCGTTTGTGTTTGAATCTTCACGAGAACGAGTGGCACGAGGAGTGATTCGTTAACCTGATCTTAAGCGAGTCGAATACATAGTTTGTTGGCGCGATTGATCGCGAGGGAATCACGCCGCTTGGTCAAGAATCGCTTTGCTGTGCCAGCGTGACGCGGAAACGATTGTTGTGCTGCCACGATGATAATACTTCGCTTCTGCGTTGGATCATCGGTGGAATTTTCAACGTAAATATTTATCTTCACCCTCGCGTGTCGTGCGAGCTATTTTCGATTATATTCGATACTCGTTGGGATAAGAAAGTGCGATCGATCCAAACCAAGCGTTAGAGAGAAAAAAAAAAAAAGGAAAAAAAAAAGGGATAACGTACGGTTTTACGACGGACTATTTTTACGCGAATAGCTTTATACGAGACAAACGCGAGCCGATGTTGCGGCGAATCGCTGGCTGATTGGCAAATCTAACCGGTCCTGCGTGACAAGAGGAGTTCGTTAACGGAACGCACGGTTTTCTGCTAAAAATAACGGAGACGTTCGCCGGTACGTTGGAATCCCTCGGTGCATAATTTTAGATCTAGCAAACTCGATCGTTGTCCCTTTACGTGTGTGACAAGCATCCGTCTCGAGCGTTGCCGGTGTTCGTCGTGGATTTTATCGTTTCCACGTGTCACCAAGATCACGGACAGGTAACAGGGTGATAAAGAGACTTTTCATTCGCATCGTTTCGAGTACAATCGCATTCCACGAGTGAAACGAACTAATTGCCTCTCACAACGAAAGTTGATAACGTTCTCTTGTTATATCAAGGAGAACCAAGAGGCCAGTTTCTCTGGCAATTTCAACTTATCTTTATCTGGCTCTCCGTTTCTAATTGCTTTTCATCCAAAACTCGAGTTTCTCCTCTAACGCCGGAACAAATTTCTCCGCTCTTACCAACATTCATTTCAACGTGTTGGAACATCTTCTTCAGTTTAGAAATTGCGAAATTTATATGTTGAATTCGTTGATGCTTCGTAAGTACTTTAATCGTTGAGTTATTTATTGTGATGAAGAGCTCGCGAGAATGTTTCAGTTAATTTATTTATGCTTAACCCTTAGTGTCTGAATTATGAAAAGAAAAATTTTAGATTTTTAACGCTAGAACCACCAAAGTTGTCGAAATGAGAAATTCATAATATGTGAAAATTTTGTAATTTACAATTAATATCTTTCGAAAATGATTTCTCATAAAGCATGTAAATAGAAGCATTTGTTCTTTATTATATAACAAACTTCTCCCTGTCCCTTGCGTTTTAATTTCTCTGAAATAAGTTTTACACTTTAACGTTACGTTTCCAAAAAATAAAAATTTGCACAAATATCCCTGCTTAATCTCTTATTGATACTATTTGTCAACCAAATATTTAACATACGACGACAAAATATCAAGGATCCCAGAATTCAATAATCCAACACATTCATCCCAAAGTTTTATAGTTAGGTACGATTCAACGAGGGTTAGAATCAAGGTTGAAAATCAAAACGTTAAGGTGGTAAGGTACGCGTGTAGGTTCTTGAAATTGTTAGCCGTTTTCAGGTGAGGTCAGCGTCGGATTAGCTCCGCTGATCGGAATTAACGGAATTCATCACTCGTTGACGAGTTCGCAGAATTCGTTCGTTCTGTGGTCCCGATACGAACACGTGGTTTGCTTAATGTGCATTTACACGTATATAATACGTGTGCATAGACGCGCGCGCGATCGTTTGTCTGGAATTAACACTTCGACGTGCAGGCGCGGAACGGCGTACGGATCGGAGTCAGAAATTCAAATTCTGCTGTGACTCCGTGCAGTGACGACGCAAACTCCAGGTACGCCAGGTCAACTGTCTCCTCCTCTTATCCACCCTGACTGTTTTTGATAGATTTTGGCACTCGTTCGACACCATTCTTCCTACCCTCTTGATATATATCTATCAGCCAGTTTTCCCAAGAGCGTTCTTGATTTCCACGGCATTCTCCAACTTTCCACGAACTTTCCGTCATGTAGAAACTCTGGCCAGACCCTGGCTAAACTTTGATTAAACGTCAATTTTGAAGTGCTGGTTTTACCAAGCTTTACGTGTAATTGCTCACAGGACGTGATAAATAGTTTACCGAATTCGAACGTTTATTTTGTGACACAATTACGACATGCTCTTCATGTATTTTTTACACTCTGGTATTCAAGTAAGTAGAAAAATTTATTTTACAGCAAGTTCTATCCATGATTTTGTGTGGAGTTATTCAAAAAGAAGGTAGTAAATAAAAGTGGCAACGAGTTGTCGTGGCATTTTAATTGGCTGTTAAATTTAAGGGGACTTCTACATGTGTATTTTTACTCTGTTACAGATGCCTTTCATGTTGTAAATAATACTGGATGAAAGGTAGCTTCAGATCGAAGATGGGCAAGCTTTTGAGTCTTCTGGCTCGAGACGAGTCTACCTGTTGCACGCCTCAAAAGTACGACGTCTTTTTGGATTTCGAAAGTAAGTACGACGAGCATACTCGCGTGAAAACGTCCCTGTCAATCGTAATTTTCGCGTTGTTGAATTTTTTCGTTCTTCCCTGCTTTTCGACTTTTACTTGGCAAAATGTTGCACGATACCGAGACGTTACGAGTGACGTCGATCAAAGATCGACTTTCGCATTGGACAAATCATTCTCTTTTAATCGAATTTTTAGATGCACAACCTTCCGACATAGAAAGGGAGACCTTTGAAGCGGTGCAAAGAGTTCTGAAAAATTCAGAATCTATCTTAGAGGAGATTCAGTGCTACAAAGGGGCAGGGAAAGAAATCAGAGAGGCGATTTCGGCGCCCACGGAGGAGTGTCAACGGAAAGCCTACCTGACTGTTGCCCCTCTGGTTGCCAAGCTGAAAAGATTCTATGAATTTTCATTAGAACTTGGTGAGCGTTAACCTTTCATATGTTCTTTTAATATTTTTCGCTTTGTCTTTACTGTTTCCAAATGTTTCCTAAAATTCTATTTTGTTAAAGCGGTACGTATCACGATGCGAACAACTGTCGAAATTGAAATCTTTGGAAATAAAAAGATAAAAATATACGACAAAGTAAATAAATAACAATGTTTCACGATTAATAATTTCTCAAATAAACATATATATTTTTTTAAATAAATATACATAAATTACAAAACGATAGAAATTTAGGATTCAAATACTTCATATTTATTGTTAAATGTCAAATTTCTAATATCGTAATCACACGGAAAAAATATATCTACATATCTTCACAGGCAGTTTTAATTTTTTTTAATTAAACTTCCAATCTGTCTGTCAAGCTATCTAGTTGAAAAATTGCAAATTAGAGGGACACTCTAAACGATCAATGTTTATTGAAGTAAATTGCCCTACGACACTATCAATTTCTCTTCAAAGACCGGGGATTATTTCTATCGAACGAAAAATTTTTCATGTTCAGCTTTAATTACGATATCATTCATTGAAACTAAGGACATAAAAACTTAAATGTCGATATTGGTTCAGCAACGAACCGCGAAGGATTATTATTTAGCTTGAATGCTGAATATTCCCGTACGTACGGTGATTGGAAGTCCAATATCGTTGCATCGGCACGAGCGAAACTTCCAACCGCTTATAAACTTCAGACGCATTTATTGCCTTTATTTTGCATAACGTAGTAGTAGGCATTCGAGCGGAAATGAAAATGTCCGCTAGCTCTCGTCAACTATAAAGTAATGCCAAAAGTAAAATCGTTTGAATAAAATCCTTTTTTTCTACAAACGAACCTCGTTCACGACGTTTTACCGACTTTTACATCGCTCTTCGAAATTTTCATATCACTTTTAGAAAGTTATATACGTTCACGTAATTTATTATTTCTGAATTAGTAGATAATAATGATATTGAAAAATAAAAGTTAAAAATTAAATCAAGCAAAACTCTTGTTTTAGCTAAAGCTAATCTAAAATTCCAGCTTCCAATTTTTTAATCTGTATTGTGACCTCTAACTTTCTCATATTACGGATATGTATGGATGCTTCATGCTGAAAGTTATAAGAAATCTTATAACTTATGATATAATCGACCAAACAGTCGATTTTATATGAAAAAAAATCTATAGCTCAAAATAAACAATTTAAATACTGCTTTTCAGATATAGCTGAATTTAGTTTAGTTTTCTTTCGAAATATAAGAAGAAAAATATATAGTACTATTCAAAAAATATAAAATGATCTTAATTCTTGTATGGGAAGACTGATTTAAAAAATTCCTTTTGCAATGTTTCATTAATAATTCATTTCATTCGGTATCTTGTTGCAACGTTGTTTAACTCTTCATGATACTACATATTCATATTTTGTATATTTTCGTATGTTGCTCCTTTATTTATCAATACACTATTGTAAAAAATACCAAATTAGTTTTAATTAGTTCTCAGACTTTCAACTAAATAGCGATCGATTCATAAATCAGAACAGAAAAGAACCTTCTGTTCAAGCTACAAATAGAAGAAAAAAAAAAAAGAAATTGCAAGAGTTTCAGAATCGTGACGCTCATTTTGCAACTTTTCGCTCGATATTTTCCAGAAAAGGTCGTACCAAAGATCCTGGGTCAATTGTGCTCTGGCAACCTCTCGCCGACCCAACATCTCGAAACCCAACAGGCTTTGGTGAAACAGCTGGCAGAAATTCTGGAGTTCGTTTTAAAATTCGACGAGCACAAGATGAAGACCCCGGCTATTCAGAACGACTTCAGCTATTATCGGAGAACATTGACCAGAGCATCTCTGGCGCGACAGGAAAATGCCGAGAAGGACCTCGTGGTCGGCAATGAGCTCGCCAACCGAATGTCCTTGTTCTACGCCCACGCGACACCCATGCTTCGTGTTCTGAGTCACGCGACCATTACTTTCTTGATGGACGTAAGTGGTATCGCCTCTTTTCTTTCTACTATCTATCTATTCCCCTCATCTATCCGCAATTATCGATCCACCCGGATGCCAATCGACGCTGTTCGCGAGGAATTCCGATAATAATTGTGTTCATTAAAATGTCGTCGTTTCTTTTTAACTTCTATGCTTTCCTTATTCAGTCAAATTTCGTAGAAGAGTGTTTTTCTTTTTTAATTAAATAAATATCGCCTGCACTTGTTGCGGAAAAGAATCTTTTGTGCAAATATTTCAGCAAGTTGTTTTAAGTTTTTTAAGTTGTCTTTCGTCCTTTCTGTTTTGTGACTGGATTGAGAATTTGAACTTTTGTTTTATAACGTGGTAAATTCAGTTTTCAAGTATATGGAAAATACTTGAATTAGAGATTAGAAATGTGCAAATTTATGAAACTAAAATATTTGAAATTATATGAAATATGCGAATATAACTAGAATATACGAATTTTATAATAAGTAGGTGATCAAGTTCTCACATTTTGTAATCGTTAGTCTTTGCACGTGAATTTCTTTAGACATTTTAAAAAGTATTTAAATGGTTTTTCATTCATTCTGTCGCATATATGTTCTGCGATGCAAACACTATAATGGTCAAAGAAAAGCAGTCCGTCAAACGTCATTTCTTTTCATGCAACAAGTAAAATTTTGGCAATTCGCGAACTTTGTCACGTTTGAATTATCATTTAACCGCGACTAATTTAAAATTGACTTTATTTCCGGAGAGACAAACGAGCGAAAGAGTAACTCGCAGTAAAGGAAAAAAGGGAGAAACGTGAAAGGCCCGTGTAGAGTCTTGAAAATAAATTTGATTCAACAATGCTGAATAAGCAGTATTATCGCAAAAATCCATTCTTCCAAGCGCGCGTTTGTTGCATGCGCCTGTGTATATTTGGCTTTCTATTTTACGTAATAATAGACACTCCGCTTTATATTTTGTCTGGTAATTAATCATTCACTTTCCATCTTTCACTGGAAATCTTCGTTTCAAAAGGAAGACAAAGGAACGTTGCGTTTGACCTCGTACAAATATTAAACGAGGAAGCTTGGTTAACAGAACGACGATGTACGAACAAAATAGGTCGATATAAATAATGACGAGCACCGGAGCAGAAAATTAAAAGCTATTATTCCAAGTGATTCAGGGTAAAACAGTTCTCGGAACATTTACCCGTATAATGGCTAGTAGATTCGTTCGCAATAAATGTGTACATGTGTATTTTAATTGGAATCATGCAGGAAGTGATTATTCGTGTTACGATGTAAACAAGAATGGATTTTTGATCTTATTTTATGTATTATTATGTCTAATTTGTTAACTGATCTGCCTCTTGATCGTTTTGCTACAGAACTGAATGTTCAGTGAACTGCCTTTATATTTCTATTTTGGTTTCAGTTGTTGAAGTGTGAAGCAATGATGTACATAGATGCTTCTGATACATATGTTTTAAATGATTCTGATATTACAAAATGAGTCGTGTAAAAGACACAAGATAAGCGATAGAAATTTAAAACAGCCAATAAACAGCAGGACGATGTAATTCTTGTTCTTATTAATATCAATATATAATAATTGCCATTTGGTGTATAAAATAGAGATCATCTTTCATTTATTGCTCAAACATGTGAATAAAAATCGTGCGCGTAAAATTAATATTTTATATTGTCTGCTTTTGGTATTCTAGTGTCTATTTCTAAGCGATCTACATTATCATAACTGGTTGAAAAGATTCGAAAATAGAACTTACACTTGGATATTTAACGATATGATAACATTGTCACGATATTTGAATTTTGTTATATTTTCTGGTATTTTATCAAATACGTTGTACCTGTTTCAGAACGAAGATGTAGCACGTGAGAACATTACAGAAACGCTTGGTACCATGGCCAAGGTTTGCCTGCGCATGTTAGAAAATCCGTAAGTAACGCGTTGACCTGACAGTCGAAGTAAAAGAAAGATCTTTGTCTACGGAGAAAGATTTTTAAAGAAAGATAAAAGAAAAAAAAAAGAAAGTGGCAGCAGTTGGAGATGAGATATGTTATTGTTCTTAGGAATCTACTGGCGCAATTCCAACGAGAGGAAACTCAACTCTTTGTTCTGAGAGTGATGGTAGGGTTAGTGATCCTTTATGATCACGTTCATCCCCAAGGTGCCTTTGTTAAGGGTTCGAATGTCGATGTAAGTATTTAACTAACGTCTTTTGCAATGTGTGTATTGAAAAAGCGGATATACTATTGGATAGATCTTAAAAATAATATGACAGTATTTTAAAAATAATATGCGACAACTACGCAACGAAAAGAATTAAATTAAAACGTCGTCTCTATCATATTTATATCCTGAATATGAAATAACGTGAGAATAAAAGCCACGATACGATATAACTGAACTAAAAATTAATAAAAAAAAAAAAATAAATCATTAATGCAACAAATATCAGATTACAGTGAATTTTCAGACAGCGCGGGGAGAAAACCGCGTGAGAGACATGCATTATCAGACAAATTTATGAAAACAAAACAAAAAAATGTTAAAATTTTACATATTACACGAGGGACTGTTTATCGCGTTGTATGCGAGTCATAATTTTTTCGTCGCGTTGTACGAATTCACATTGTGAGTGAGCGCGTTACACGGAAGTCAATTGTATTATTAATCTGTAAGAATTTTTATAGTAGTTGTACAAGATTCTACAGTATTTATAGAAGTGTGTATGAAATATTTAAACATGAAATTCTCATATATATGCGTAATCTCTCATAATGCCTGTTCAGGTTAAAGGCTGTGTGAAGCTGTTGAAGGAACAACCACCCTGCAAAAGCGAGGGTCTACTGAACGCTCTCCGCTACACCACCAAGCACCTGAACGAGGAGAACACACCGAAAAACATCAAGAACCTGCTAGCAGCATGATTACCGAAGCAGCGCGGCTGCTGCATTCGAAGCTGAGACAATTGCCTGCTAAAATGTCGGAAGCTGAACGCAATGCCATTCTCATATTCTATAGCGTTCACGAGAACGCCGAAGATGATATCCTTCGCGACTTTTAATCTCGGGACGCAAAGAGCAATCTCCTGTTTCTGATCGTGGCTGGGTGGTGGACCACTGAAAACGTGTCTTTCGTAATCGAGTCTATAGCTGCCCGAAAACTGCCGACTTCTACATACCTTCTGACAAAAAAAAA